GGACTACCTATGATGTCAATTACAGGCCTCTCTCATCTTTTTAAGTGGGAGAACTTGCACAATTGGTGACTGACTAAATACTTATTTTCCCCACTGTATGTGGCGTCTTCTATGGTTACATGTCGAATGCCGAAGCTGAAGAAAAAAGGGGGAGCTGAACTCAGGTCCGTCCTCCCCTTTTATACGGACCGAGGTGAGGCCCACAGCAAGTGGGCGTGGACTATTGGTTCTTCAGAATGCACGAGCGCGTGCGGGGGTACCCATCTGCGATAGCCTTAGAGGGCGGAGCTTACACGAAATAGAACAGTTTAAGATAAATGACTATATTGTATGCTTTCTTACCGAAGCCATAAACATAAGAAAAATAAATGACCAAGAAGCAGAAAAACTTGCAGTCCACAACAACTTTTTATTTTAAATGAACACCATGAATCAAACGTCTGTTTGTATAAATGACTTCCTGAAACAGCAATGAAATGTAAGTTGGGTTGAAAGCAACCGGTTCTGCCACTAGATGGCAACGTTGTGCAAGAATGGCTCATGTCGTTACTGGAAATATATACATACTGTATATTCAGGTGAACTGAGCCAATTTTGCGGATCTATTTAGCTTCCGCTAAAATATTCATGACGTGCGCTTTAGAACTTGCGGAACTAAAGAAAAATAATTAGCGGTTTAGAATTTGCGGAACTAACTTTTGAATTAGCGCTGCCCACCACTGAGCTAAAAATCTCTTCACCTTCAGTTTATTGTTTTGTTATTTTTGGCTACTTTTTATTAATATTGTGTTAAAATACTTTGTGTTCTTTCAGGCACAGACAGAACACCCAGGGGACTCGGCACATTCTCACAGATGGACGTCCCTGGAGTTGGTAAAAGGCACCTACAGCACTGATGATTCCCCCAGTGATATTGCAGAGATTCGCCTGGATAAAGCTGTTCCACTCAAGGTATACAAGCTGTCCCAAAAGCATTTTTAGGGCTTTCTGATAGGCSTGTCATGATGAACAATAAATCAATTAATCGCATGATAAATTAAAACCAGGATGATAATTTTAATTTGCTTYCTTGTTTGTTTCTTTCGTGTCGCCCTCTTTTCTGCTCCTTAGTGTAGGGAGGAGTAACCTCTTGCGTGAGGTATTTGCCAGGCGCATGGTCTCATAACCTCTGTAGCCCTGTAAACAGGCATTTAGCTAGAGGAGCGTCTTTGATTTTCTGATGCTTTCCTTCATTATRTTAGTTTAAAAAAGTCTCCAAATATCCAATATTATCATTTATTTTGATAATTTCTGAGACAATTTATCATCGAGCTAAATTTGTCATTGTGACAGGCCTACTTTCTGTCCCAACCTGTTTTTGTTGAAGTTACATCTGGAGAATGTGGGTGAAATTGTGAGCAATATTGACAAGCTATTAATTAATCTACCTATGTTCCAATCTATTACAGGAAGGAGTGAAATATGCAGTCCGGTTACGAAACTACGGCAGCAGGACAGCTAATGGAGATGGAGGTATGACCACAGTGCAGTGCTCTGATGGTGTCTCATTCACTTTCAGCACTTGCAGCTTGAGTAGCAATGGAACCAACCAGACCAGAGGTCAGATCCCACAGATTCTGTACTACAGGTAAGCACAAACTGTTCTAACATGTTGCATATAAATATATATTTTYAAATCTAATTTGTATTTCTTACTGCTGAAGGAGTGAGTATGATGGGGACCTGCAGTCTCAGCTGTTGAGTAAAGCCAATGAGGAGGATAAAAACTGCAGCAGAGCTCTGTCTGTGGTTAGTGCTGTGGTTCGAGCTGCAAAGGACCTCCTTCACAGAGCTTTTGCAGTTGATGGTAAGCACAGCAGACTTTGAAGAGAGAGAGATTTCTGCTTAACTGGACCTTTTAAATTAAAATTGTTGTTTTGTCTTTCTAGCAGATGATATTCCAGAGTTGTTGAGTTCTTCCAGCCTCTTCTCCATGCTGCTACCCCTTATTCTGGCTTACATCGGTCCTGTTGCAGCATCTGTGCCTAAGGTAAAACTTAAAATGAGAAGGGTAAATCCTTCATCAATGTGACTGCATGTGGCGCAATACCTACTCTGGGTTTTCTTCCAGGCTGCTGTTGAGGTCTTTGGACTTGTTCAAGAGTTGCTACCTGCTGTCTCCGCACTCAACCAAAAATATGCCCCGCCCACTTTCAACCCCAACCAGTCAACAGACAGCACCACTGGCAATCAGCCTGAGCAGGGCCTGTCAGCTTGCACCACCTCAAACCASTACTCAGTGATCGAGAGTGACCATCCTTACAAACAAGCTGGTGTCACACAATACAGGGTACTGCTCCTGTTGATATACTGACTATTATTAAAAAGAAACTGAAATGCGTTAGGTTGTGAGTGATCTCATTCTGTCCCATTGTTTCTCAGGTATCATTTCCAGACTGCGTTCGTTGGACCACCATTGAGTTTGATCCGCAGTGTGGCACAGCTCAGCCAGAAGATGTCCTTCGTCTGCTCATACCTAGCCGCACGCTCCACCTGTCCAACTTTGGAGGCAAACCTCTGATCCATGACACCATCAATACCTGGACTGAGCTCAAAAAGTTCTCAGGGTCTACGGGTTGGCCAACTACCGTTCTTGTGCTTCCAGGTAAAAGAAAAAAAAAGAAGTGTTTGACCAGTGTATCAATCTGCATTAGCATTTTATATGTGACTCAGTTTCTCTGAGTAGAGTAAATAAAATAAAAGTGACATATGTAACTATGGTTCGAATCCTGGATGACTGCCAGAGGACAGTGTTGAAAGCATTGAATGTTCCCTTCGCACATGCACTGTTCGAGTAAATATTGTCAAAAAAAAGTCACCACTGTGACTCGTCGGATGATCACCTTGAATCGATATAGGCCAGTAACATCCGAGMCTCTGCTTCTTCACAATCTTCTCACGAAATGCAAGGATTCTGGGTGACAGAGAAGCTCTGGTGGTCATCCGAGATTCATAGAACTACTGACCACCAGACAATGAGAGCAGGATAGAACCTTGGGTAGAAATGCAGTGTTTGGCCTAGGGTTGGGCAATATTGGCAAAAAAATTAATCACGATTAATTGTGGTATTTGGCTGATAACGATTAATTTGATCCCCTGGAGACCCTGGACACCCTTATGTCCTGGTCACATGACCAATTTAGAAAAGATTTGCTCTTTGTAAAAATATGTTCCAAATTGTGTCAAAATTACATACTTCAGGCTACACATCAATTTTTAAATTGTGTTGATAGATAAATAAATTACAGAACTTTTTTTAATGATCATCATATTTGAAGTGGAGAGGAGCACCGAGCGGACTCTGCCTGGTGGCATTAATCGTATTAATCGTCAAGCGCCAAAAAATAATCAATTAATGTTTTTCTGATGATTAATTGCACACGATACGATTATGCCCAACCCTAGTTTGGCCACAAAGTAACATCAGAGTCATTCAGTTCCCAATCTTAAGCATGAGGGAMTGACATAAAGAGCGTGTAGTTCACCAACYCTCTTAGCTGAGACAGTAGCTAACAGGAAAGTGGTCTTACCTGAGAGCCACTTGAGGCCAGCTTGCACCAGAGAATCGAATGGAGGCTGGCAGAGGGCTTTGAGCACCAAGGGCAAATCCCAAATTGGGGCCTGCGGCATTGCTGGTGGGCACAGCCTATGAGCAACAATAATGAGACAATGTGTCCATGACCAGTTCACCTGATTCCCCCTGAGGGAGTACCATGTGGGACAATGAGTTAATTGCTCTGTGGCGAAAAGATCTACTTCTGCCTGACCAAAGAGGTCCAAGATCATGTGCACTAAGTCGCTGTGAAGGGACAAATCCCCTGGAGCAGGCCCCTGGCGAGAGAGAGAGTCTGCAACCTGGTTGTACTGTCCTGACAAATACACTGCTCGCAGGGTGGACAGGTGAAAATACACCCATCCCAGCAGATTCCTGGACACGTTCAGAATCTGCACCGCGTTGGTGATTTAATATGATAGACAACAGTGTTGTCTGACCAAATTTGCACATGCATTCCCTCCAAGTGGTGGAGAAAGTGCCTTTAAGCCAGATGTACAGCACACAGCTCCAGTACATTTATGTGTTTGCAGCTATCCCTTTGGCTCCAGTGACCCTGAATCGCTCTGTGTTGCCACAAAGCATGGGTTAAATCCGTTGTAACTACCTCTATGCGGCACACTACCATCCCCATAGAGACGCCCTTGGACAGATAAATCCTGTCTCTCCATGGAGGGAGGGCACAAAGACACGACCATGTCACTTAAAGTTTGCGATTCCTGTGCACCCTGGCATCCAGAGCTGCTGAGCCACCTCTGTGGAGGGTGCAGTGACAGCAATCCCAAGCTGAGTGACAGATGTCATCTTGCCTAGCAGCTACAGGAAGGCAAGATAAGTTAACTGTCTGCCTAGCCTGAATCGACTGAGCAACCGTAGAATGTCGTCTACCCTTTGAACAGATGGTCGAGCCTTCATAGAAGGCAAATTCAAGACAATCCCCAGGAAGGTGGTCATCTGAGTTGGAATCGGACAACTCTTCCCCAATTTGACCTTGAGGCCCAGCTGGGACACATGGGCAATCGGGCGGGCGGGCGG